TGTAAGGCAATATACCTGCCATCTCGGGTGTGGTTCCTCGTGGATGACCACTACTAAACCCCCGGATAGCTGTTCCTGTAGATTGAAATTATCTCCAAAGTCGTGAAACGATGCTGTGAGCAATTCCGAACTGTGCAGCCACACTTGTCACACTGCGGCCTTCCTCCAACTTCTCAATGATTCGACCTCGGGTAAAAGCATCCAGATGTCGTCTAACAGATTGATTTTTCGCCATTTCTCGCTGAGGCAGCAACTTGGTGTGATTTTAACTACTATACGGCGTGCAATCTCTTTGCCAGAAATACTGATCTTACACCGACAACATGCTTTATACTACTCAGACACTCCCCCATTACGTCTACCTGCATATCTGCGCATGTGCTACCGTTCATCACCTTACTTAATCTCCTGATTGGTCTTTCTGTCCGCTCTGCCTCTTCGTTCAGCTGATACGCTAATTTTTCAACTTCGTCCTTAATTTTTGCACACCAGTGTACTTTACAGCAATGTGAATAGGCATGCTGGGTCTAATCAAAACAAAACTTCAAATCAAATATCCAGCGAAAAACTCCGGAAACACAAAGAAGGTGACCTTGGAGGAGACTACACTGAACCACAACCACTTTGAAAAAATAGGGTTGTTTTCAGAAGGGTTTATTTAATCGGGCAGGTCCATGGGACCCAGCACGCACGCTTGCGGGTTAAAGGGGGTAGGTTCATGCTTTAATTTGTTACCTTAAAAATTTTGATTTGTCTTCAGTGATTGTTAGACCTATCTTCCCTGCTGCATATTCAAGTGAGACAAATGCCTTAACAACAGCCCATTTAAATCATCTAATGATATCAATGTATATTCATATTACATATGGGAAAAATCATGAAAACTCCCATGTCCCCAACCAGTTTACAGAGATTTGAACTCAGGTCAAACTAATAGTACAGTCAAAAGTCTTTAATCCAGACCTCAAAGCTACAAACTTTCTGCGCATGCGCATATGTGTTTAATCCTGCGTATAATACGTTTACGCATGCACATTTAATGTATAATGGACGGTATAAGCTAAGCTAAAATTATCTAATTCAGTTAATGTTGCAGATTGCGTTGTTCCTTAATCTTCGAATTGGATCCAGCTTATTATTTTTTGCAGACTGTTAGAGCAATTTTATAAAAGTAAGCTTGAACTTTTGATTACGCCAAAAAGAATTTCCGATTCTGGAGCTGCCAAAGGATCTACAAAGCGAAAGCATGTTTCGATGTCCATCGAACAAAACGTGGAATTGCTGCAAAAAATTTAGAAATGCATATTCGTGTTTTCTCTAACCATTCCGAAATCTGTTTATCAATTTCACGCTGCTCTGCCAGAGGGGAAGGTCATCACAGCACGCAATGAACTGGAAGTTGATCTGTCAGCACTATCCTTATCTTCAAGGCAGATGTTTTTATTTTATTCGGCTTATAATTCCTTACTAAAAGTAGTATTTCATCTCGATGTACTCTGTCTTTGATATGATTTAAATCAAATTCCTCGTCATTATAAATATCACGAATACACATCAAATAGTTTTCTGGTTGCAATTTTCTAATTTCGACTATGCGCAATGTATGCTTTACGCATGCACTTTGAAAGAAATGTATAATAAAGTAAACAAATAAATATTAAGTTTCTTTCTTTCTTTCTTTTTTTTTTTTTTTTTGTAAATTTTGATACCCTTTAGATCATAATTGCTCTTTCATAAATTACGGTTTCATATTTTTAATTTTATAATTTCTGCATGCCATCTTACCAGATTTAAACTGATGATCTATAGTTCAGAAAAACTGATAATCCGGAATCGCCGAAGTCCCGACGAGTCCGGATTAAAGACTTTTGACTGTATTTAGTGACTTTCAACTGAACTGTTTGTGGGCCTGGATTTCTTCAATATGACATATGCATGTACCACATTAATAGAGATTAAACTTTAAGAAATCAGGGCAAATGAAGAGTTAAGAAATTCAAGAAGGTTACCAACAGGAAATGCTAAATGAATAATTCATCATTGAAATTCCGGAAATTTCCTCATGTTGTCAAGCTTATTAAGAATTTCAATGAATTACAATAAATTCAGAGAATTGGCTTTCCATATAGAATTCAAATTCTGCAATTGTTGAATCTAAAGTACGAGTACAATCACTAGTAATATATATATATTTATGAGGAAGTCACCCGAAGGAATTTTCATGTATGAAAAAAAAATAATCATTATGGGTAGAAAAAAAAAATTCAAGACTAAAAATACATAAAATTATTCAATCTGTGATTTCATTTTTCATTATAGAAAATAATGTTAAGATAAATCAGAAAATTGTTTTATGTCCTCCATTAAATCAAGGCCTATTTCATTAAAGGTTGAATTTCAGTTGCCTTTAGTCAGGCTTGATTAAGACCCAAAGAATCTCTGGCTGCAGATTTTATGACAGGCTGGTCTTCAGAGGATCCTGGACTACGCAGATGCCAACAGCCTTATTATCGCTGAGCAATATGGATTCCGAAAGAAATATTCCCTCACCCATCAACTTTATGGAGTTACAGAAATGATATCTACTGGACTGCAAAACAAGCTTATCACTTAAGCAATCTTTCTGCACATAGCAAAGGCCTTCGATCGAGTATGGCTAGAGGGCTCATACACCAGTTAATCACACTGGGCTTCTCAGGATATATAACTAACATCATTAGTTCCTATCTGACAGATAGACACTTTCGTTCGTGTCAACCACACCATCTTTCCCCCTCAGGCCTATACAGGCTGGGGTCCTACAGGGTTCCCTTTTGGGCCCCATTTTATTCAACATCTACACGAACGCATAACACAATAACAGCAATTCTATCACAAATTGCATCTCACGGCTCAATCATATAGATACTACGAAACCACATCCAAGCATTTGAGCCATGGCTGCGCTCCTGGAAGATGAAAATAAATTTATCAAAATCCGATGCCACTCTATTCACAAAGAAAAGAAACTATGATGTTAATATTCATGTTCTGATGTATGATACCCCAATCCCCTACACTAAGCAGATTATTAGGTAAAAGTATATATTTATGGGTGCCCCTTGGTAAAAATTGGAGATTTTTGGAGGTACATGGATACTGAGCTTTGCACACTCCCTTGACTTTATCCATGTACACATCAATCTATTTTCACTCAAAAAAAAAAAAAAAAAAAAAAAAAAAAAAAAAAAAAAAAAACAGAATTTCACAAATTTGGCATTGCACACTTCCTTACCATCAATATATCACTTAAAAATTCAAAGGAGCACCCAGTTCTAGGTAAAAGTATATTTATGAAACATTCAACTACATAGATTATCATAAATGAAACAACAATTTGGTGATGAATGAAACAACAACTTGGCGATAAATGAAACAACAACTTCACAATTATACAAGAGGTACCCTTCAGTCTACTCTAACCAATTATTACTGTAAGAACACTCTAAGTTAGGTAAGACATTTGGGTACAATACCGTTTCGGGGACTGGGGACCATAACAGAATTGCAGCGAAAATGCATGTGCAAAAGCGCCAAATCTAGCAAACTCGCTCATAAACAGCACACAAATCTTGCGAACGCGCCGATTTCAAATTGTGTAAGTTTAGATAGCTCTATATATGCAAGTCCATTGAAACACTAGTTTAATTTTTTAATTCTCTTTTTGATAAAGCTATGGATTTTACAATTTGAGAATTGCCCAGTGACGAAAAGTCTGCAAAAAGAATTTTTTTTTTTAAAAAAGGTATCATTCATGATAGAAAATTATGTTTGAACAATCACGAGATGAAATTATACTTTAGCGATAACTCAGTAGAGAAATGGCGGTGCAAGAAAGAAACCTGTAATGAGAACAAAGGATTAAGAAGTCAAAATTGGTTTGAAGGATCTAAAATACTCTTCCTTATAGCCATTAGGTTCATCTATTTTTTGGTGTCAGGAAATGACATCTGTTGAATTTTGTGAACTCCAGCTCAAGATGAACCACTATACAGTTGTAGACTGGAACAGTTACATGTGTGAAGTATGTGCCGCAACTTTAATTGCTCGACCTAAGTCGAAAATCGGTGGATGTGGCAAAATTATTGAAGTAGACGAAAGTCTTTTCAGTAAAAGAAAGAGTAATGTTGGACGTGTTCTTCTGCTACAATGGGTTTTTGGCGGATTATGATGAGAATTGAATGAATATTTCTTAGTCGCTGTTCCAGATCGATCAGTGAAAACCTTATTGAACATCATAAAGGATAATATCATAGAAGGAAGCGTTATTTATACTGACTGCTGGAAATCATACAAGTTGGATAAACTGCAAGATGCCGGTTTTGAATACTTTACATTCAACCACAACTACAATTTTGTGGACCCGGAAAGTGGGTTTCATACACAAAGAGTAGAACATCTGTGGAGCAGTGCTAAATCGCGTAATAATCACCATCGGGGCATTTCGATTCTTACTTGTCCGAGCTTATATACAGACGTTAGCACAAAAGAACTGAAATCTTTTCTGCTATGTTGGAAGACATCAAAAATTCTATGCCACCCGTTTAATTTCAAGTATATTTAGCCTTTTTTTCATAAATTAAATTAATAAAAAATTGTATTATATGAAATTAACCTTTCATCTAAATTAAAATACCCTGAAATAGTTATTTACTATTATGCTTCCATTCAGTTACGTTTAGCTTTTTTTATACAAATTATAATAATAAAACAATGTATTTATTATATGAAATTCACTTTTCATCTAAGTTAAAACAATATTCATAGTTATTTACTATTATCCTTCGTTACTTGAGTTAGGGTTGCCGCAATTATTTTTGGCAGCATTGGAATCAACAATAATTTGGTGAATTTTTACAGTTATCAAAACGGAATTGTACCGAAATTTGTTTTTGCAATTACTGACATTTCATTATTAACTCTGCTTGACACTGGCTGATCATTCATTTCTTTACACTTACGCTTCCAGATTTTCCTAGCCAGACTGACTTGACTACCGGCAGATAGGAGTAGCTCATCATCCCTGTTAGTTTAATATAATCTTCACTTGAAGAAGTTAGGAAGAGTTTCTTCAATCTGCAACCTGGAAATTATGATATGACCTAATTAATTATTTCATCATCCTATTTATCTTCCTCTTCAGCTATTTACTCGAAACACACATGTATTAGAAAATTGTTAACACCATTATACTGGGCTAGAGACTTTATGCAGGTAGCCGATAACTGCGTATGCTTTTCGCTTGAACCGCATTTTATGCAACTCAAAAATTGTCATATAATTCCTTACAGTTCTGTTTTCCCTGTAAAAACAAGAAAAAACTGTGTTCAAACATCTCCTAAAAATTGTCGTGCATAGTGTCCTAAGTTGCCTAAATAAAGTTCCGTATAAAATTACTCTTGTTTAAAAAAAAAAAAAAATCGTTTCTCTATGAAAGTTCTGTTTCGATGATAAGATCTAAGATCTTTTATAAAATATATATATAAGCTAAAAAAAATAAAACTGAAACTCAACCTTAGAAATTATACATACATAATACATGGACAGCACAATTTGAGGTACTACCAGTCAGAATTCTGAAATGAAGCTTTTAAACAAACCCATTTCCCTGATTTCAGTTCCTATCTTTATTGCATCTTCAAATTTAAATATAAAAAACTTTTATAGATTAAAAAATGAAGGAATATCATACTGCACAACACAAATATTTAGAATAACATTAAAATGCGTATTTTCAGATAATTATATGCCAAAACGTTTTAACTTTTGAGCTTACTACAAGTGTCATAACTGCAAAACAACATCAGATGTGATGACTGGAATTTTTAAACTTTATAAAAGCTATTCCTATTCTCCGAATAATAAACACAATTATAACTTCTAATAACAGTCATTTTAAAACGCAGTCATAATATAAACAAACGGCAACTGATAATAAATCGTGTTATACGGTTCCAGTTTAAAATTGTATCTTATAGGGAAAGAACATAATAATAAATCGTTCTTTTAGACAACAGTAAAAATGCTTAGCCTTACGTCTGCTCTGTTAGTTCTCTTTGTTGGTATTCTGAAATTAAGTCATTCAATTTCCATGAAATTTTCTTTCCCACTTTCACTTTTCAAACAATGATGCGGTTGTGATTTCGTCGTAAGTTCCGTAGTCGCAGGTCTTGGCACGGTGACGGGAGGAGAAGGGAAGGAAACTGGTTACGGACGTACGAAATGTAAATTATTTTTCATTTCACCTGTTTGATCAATTAATATCATGACAGACAGCAGTATTGTTGAATATTTTTCTGGAAATGAAGGCTATAGGTGTGGTTATTGTAAATCAGATAATACCTGTTATTCTCATGGTAAGGAACTGTCTATTACTTTCCCTGGTTAAATTAATAATACAAACTTACAATAAATAATTTTACCCCAGAATTGAAAGATGATAGAATGATCTCTTTTAGTCATTGGATTCATACCTCACTTATCTAATTATAAATTTTTCTTTCTGGTATTAAATATTTGACTAGATTTGTATCAAAATCTGCAAGCCTGGGATTATTTATTTGCTACCGTGTTTTAATTTTTGTCGCATCTTACTGTATTGAATCTGAATAACTGAAAATAATTCAAGAATGACATTTTAATCAGTGTTTTATATAGACAATTTTTACCTTTAATTTATTTGAAAATAAAATTCAAAACATGTTATCAATTATTCATAGAGTACTTTTAATGATAAAATTTAGGGAGGAAAACTTTACATATATCTTTATTATGTGCTTAATATAGTGCTTTTTTGACATGTAATCTTGGTGCCAGATATTTAATATTTTGACTTTGTATATTTAACTTCGAATAAGTAAAATATGATTACATAAACAAGATAGTTTATAAATTTTGTTTACTTTTCTATTTTTAGGAATGTGGACTCATACTTTGACTCCTCTAGATTATCAAAATTTGATTGATAGAGGATGGAGGAGGTTAGTATCAAGGCTGTTTTATAGCAATTTCCCTGATTATTGACAGAAACAGGACATGTCCTTTCATACCTAAATTTACTACTTGTGATTTGTTTATTAAATTGGATTTGTAATAAGTACACTGATGGATCATAATATTTTTAACAATGTGAAAACTCATTTAAATGCACTTTGAAGAAGTTTTTGGAAAGGCGTGTTTTTAAATTATATTTGAATAAATTTCATTATTTATCATTCTGCATTTTTAAGCTGAATTTTATTATTACACTTTTCATGCTCTAAAATTGTATCATTTATTTCTTTCGTATTGATGGTAATATTATGAGTTTCTCATTGAATATTAGGAATTATGTCTGTTAGAATCTAGGAATTATGGGGAAAGTGCAGAATCACCCACTGCTTGGCGCGTTTTTAAGAATTGCACAAACTCAGTATCCATGTACACATCGACCTATAATCACTTAAAAAAAATCCCAGAATTGCACAAAAATGGCATTGTGCACTCCCTTGACTTCATCCATGCACACATTGACCTATTTTCGGCTGATCTTTGGAATATGGTAACTGGTAGTTTGGCGACATTTTGGAGGCGATAAAGGTTACTACCTAGGACTTTGGTAATAATGTGAGAAGTACTCAGTTCCGATTACGCATTATTTTGTGTGAGGGAAATGAGAGATCATGAGATATGTCATGGGACATTAATGGACGAATTACAGTTCTTTAATCGGAAAAGTGGGGGGAATTTGGAAAACTGTAGTACTATATAATTTTGTATTAAGCTTCATTGTGTGTTGTGTGAAATAGTGGAAGTGTGCGTGCCACATAATGAAGATTCTGAAGATTAGGTAAGTTAGCATTTTTAATCATTTGGGATATTATTTTTATGCATTGTTCTAAATGTAAGGAGTAAATCAATTAATATGATATTATTGGAAAATTGTTATTAGCAATGATTTAGTTTGAAGTAATTAAGATTGTAGTCTAATTTTTATGATTTTAATATATGTGCTTATTTATATTTTAAGTAGTGTTTTTTAATTTAATTATATTTTAATTTAATGATTGTGATTTTGTGAGTTATATGTTTGTAGTATTTTGGAATCGTTTGAATAGAATACATTGAGTATTTTCATGCATGTTCGTGAAATTTTTCTAATTTATGAGAAAAAAGCAGTGTACATGGATATAGTGAAGAGTGTGTGCAATGCCATTTTTTGTGCAATTCTGGGATGTTTTTTAAGTAAAAATAAGTCGACGTGTAAATGGTTTATGTGTATGTGCTATTCTGAAAAATGCGCAAGGAGTTTACGATTGTGCACTTTTCCCCAATTTTGCAGTTAATATTTGTCATGATTAAGCAGTTTTGTTACATAAAATTTCTAGCATAAGTGTAATTCGGCTAGTAGATTGTTGGAAAAAGTGTTCAGTAAATAAAAAGGAAAAGAAACATGTCTCGGCGGAAATAGAGGGTTGCTGTAGCAGAGTTGTTCGCCAAAAAATCGCCAAGTTACCATAATCCAAAGGTCAACCCTATTTTCACTTAAAAAATGAAAGAAAATTGACAAAAATCCAATTCTTACTCTTGTAAGAAGCACCAAGCAAACGCCAAACAAATAAGTGGGCGATTCTGCACTTTACCCAGAATTACGTATTTTGTTTAGAATAGACATAAAATTTAGAATGTTTTTAATTTGATGAGCTGTGATCACTATCTGTGTCATTTTTAATATTGATTTTTATGTTTTTATCAGTTATTTTGTTTTCTGTTATTTTGTTTTTAAGTGCTAATTTTAACATGTATAAGAGCTCAAGTAATAATCTAAAATGATACCAAAAGTTACAATGCTAGAAGCGAAACTTTTTTTTTTTCTGATTTTTTTTTTATAAAATTAGGCTTAGCGATGCAAAACCTTCATCCTGTATGATGACTGCCTTCGATTCCCTACCGTCCCGCACGAGCGTCTTAAACAAAGGTGCGCCGTCGCGAAAAGGTTAAAGAATGAAAAATATCTTACGGTACCTTTAAAATTGTATACGTCTTTCGATACCCTTGATAGAGTATTTGCTACTTTTATTTTATGTTTCAAATGGCAAAATGTTTTAACCCGCGAGCACGCCTGCTGGGTATCTCATACTCGGGGGCATATTTTATGTCCCTTATCTCAAAACCCCTTTCCTGGAAATGGACAAAAGCTTTTGTAGCTAAATTCAAGGTCATATTCATGAAGTTGGGAAATCCATAGAGTGATTCTTCGAATACTTTTCCAGGAATTGTACCGTTTGGGTATGTGAGACCCGCGTGCCTTCTCGCGTCTCTCAGATTTTCATCCTCACTTTCTTAGTTAGTCAGCATGGCGTGGCATCCAAGTTATGATAAAGAAATGGAAAAGGTTCAGAAATGTGCTAGAAACCATTTCAACAGATGATGAAACGTTTAGAGAAGAGGAGGAAGAATTAATAGATGAAGAAAACACAAACGCATTTATAATTCATCAATAGACAGTGATACAGACACTGAATTAGATAATGAATTAGAAAAATCAATGAAATGATGAAAATTATGTTGGTAAAAATGGCTTGGTATGGAAGAAAAACAAATTCCAAACGAATGTTGGGACTAGTTCTAAAAGCATTATCTTTAAAATTCTTGGAAATATTAGTTATTCGAAAGTGAAAGATTACTCAAATCAATGGCGGCAGTAGATCATGCTCCCTTTGAAACTAAAAGAAAGAATAATTTCAGGAGACTGCAACATGGAAACAGCATCTAAAACGATGAAAAACGTTTACAGAAGATGTGCTGATTGCCCTAAAAATAAGGACAGAAAGACACGGTTTCTGTGCGAGAAATGTAATATCAGTATTTGTATAGATCATATGTGTTCAGTCTGCCAGAGATGTGCAAAATAATTGTATTTTAAGTACTGCATTTATTATATTCTTTAAAATATTCTAAAGTTCATTGTTTTTATGTTAATCCACATTTATACTTATATTTATATTATTAATGTAGTTTAAAACATAATTAATTGCTTTCAGGTATGACATACAAAGCACACCTTCTCGTGTTAGTAATTTTGGCGCGTGTGCTTGTGGGTTAAATAAAGTAATGTTTTTTCACATTCATGTATTATTGTAACATGTACTTTTTAAAATATTTTAGAGGAGAGGCTTTACTGTTGTCATTTTAAACTCATCATTTTATTTTTATATTTCTGAAAAACAATCACTTTGGGCTTACACAGTTTACTTAATTATTATTATTTTTTATATTATCAGAGAATTGTTAAACTGCTTCGAAAAATCGATTAAAAGAGGTATTGAGCGCTCTGCCAAAATATATTTACTAGAAGATTTGAATTTGATGATGAATGTATCCTAAAACATGTTTTAAGTCAAAAGTTTGAAACTTGATGGCTAAATGCAAATATAAAATTATGCATGTTAAAATATTTGTAATTAGGCACATAGGTCAGGTTAAGTTTTTATTAAATAGAGTAAGGCATGCAAGGGCTATCTGCCTAAAGGGTGAGATGCCATCGTGGAGGAATTTTGAAGAAAAACTTACCTTTGAGTGGGCATTAAAATAATGCATATAATTTTCATTCAAATTATATTTATACATATTTCTTATGTAAAACGTTTGGGTATATGTTAAATTAGTGTAAATTACTTTACTCAAAATATAGTGAATGCACATACAAGATTAAAGATTTGCACATGCCTGAAATAAAAAATATGAAATATGGATGAGTATTTATGCATGTACTTGCAAAAAGCATGTATCTGCCTATAACAAAATATGTAAATATTTGTTAAATTATTTATAAATGTGTTTGAAATGAAGGATTTATTCATTCATAAACAAGTGAAAGTTACTATGAAGAAATCTAGTTATTAAATGTTATAAAATTTATAATGATTATAAATATTATCTAAATATATAATAAACTTAGCATTGAATTGTAAACATAAATTGAAATCCTGTTGACAAATACATTATAAATCTATCTAAGCAAGAATTGTTTGTACTGGAGTACTGAAAAGCAATCTGTTAAAAGGTATTGTAAAGTAAATTCTATGAGATGCGTACTTAAATAAGTAATAAACAAGAGTTTTGGAATACATATTGTTGAAATTATGAGTAAAAAAATCTGATAAGTATAGTTAAAAGAATTATTCCCCTTGCATTTTATAACTCAGTTAAAAGTTTTAAATAATATTTTAAAAAAATCCTTATTTTATTCCCTTTCAGAAATATTCAGAGAAAGTTAAGTACTATTTAAAGTATTTCGCTATTAAAATAAAAGCTCCTCTATTTTGAAATGGACTCAATAGAGCATTAATTTTAAATTGACTTATAGTTTTCCATTTAAAGGATGCCTCAGAAGCTAAAATATGTTATATTTGAGAAAATATTTTAGGAAGACGCTCCATAAATAGAAAAGAAATAATGCATAATTTTAATATTAATAACACAATAAACTTTGATCTTAATTTTTGTAATCCTTAACCGAATAAAATCAAATGACCTTAAAATTTTTTCCTAATGTAATTAACGAAAAAAATATTTCATTGAAATCAAACCATTCTGAGCAAACCTTTCGGTGAAAATTATAATGTTACATTCCGTTCAGAATGAAATGATATTTGAAAATGTATTCTTTTCATATAGGTAAGATTCTGAAGTACTGTAGAAAGAGAAAATATATACATTTGTATGTATATTTGCGACATAATTACAAAATATTTACATCCAATCGTGTCAAAACCCATTGAACTTAATGGTAAATTACCCAATGTTTTGGTCACCATGTAGGGATCGGCAGTGCTTCAGAGCAGGGTATGGAGGAAACCGGTTAGGCCACTCCACCTTACTTCCTACCTCCATGCAAATACAAGCAGCTGATTGATGGAATGTTCTGATAAATGGCATCCTTGGCTAAAATAGATCACCCCTAAAACCAGTGATTCTTTTCTTAATTTTTTATGGCAAA